TCTACCTCTTTTAATTCCAACGATGCCCAATGCTCTACTTAAATAAGCTTGTTCCTTGAAGCTCTTTTAATGTTAAAACATAAAATAAAGGGTCAATCATGTGTTTTTATATGGCTACATAGCTGCTTGTACAGTATCAGTGGCCTACTAGGCTACTCTAAATGTAACCATCACAAAGCAGCTGCGCACGCGTGCACACGCACACATACACAGAGTCACGTTTCCACATCGTCAGAGGACATTATGTTGACTTACATTCATTTCATGGAGATTCTAACCTTGATCCCTACATCAGGTTGTCATACTAAATTTGTATTTTGATGTCATGTTTTTTTTTGTTCAGGCTTAAGTTTATTTCTGTTTTATTTAGCCATTCCTGCTGTCTTTTTTTAGTTTTACTTGTGTCTTTACTATTTTTTCCTCCATTTTTGTCTGTCCTGCACTGATAAATATCACCTGCTTTAAACTGCCCCACTTGTTCCCAATCAGCCAGTCTCCTCGGTGTATTTATATCACCGGTGTTCCAGCTCCTACTTTTTAGATTTTGTGTTACTGTTTGATCTCAAGCCTTCCAGCATTTCTTGTTCTCCTGGTGTAAGACTTGTTTCCATTTTATTCAAAATTTGTTCATTTTTTGTTAGAATTGTTCGTTACTGCCTGATCAACAGTTAATGACAGACTGCCTTTATGTGCATGTACACAGCAAATTTAAGTTTTAAATTTAAATTGTGTTTTCCTCTTGCCCTTTAAAAAAATGTAAGAGGAATAGCACTCTTTACTGAGTTGGATTAAATATAAATCTTACCAAATAGTGTTATAAAAAAATCTTATATTAATAAAACATCTAACATTTGTTTACTGCAGACAATCATAATCACTGCAGCTTAATGAACAGAAATTTAACAACCAATTTAAACAGAAAACAAAAAACAAAACAAAGTCAAAGGAAGTGATGACTTTCTGACGATGGCCTGTCATTACCTCTGTAATGATTTTGGCCCAAAATAGAATTTTTCATTGCATGACATCTGATATTTGAATAATCAAAATATACCTACTGCTGAATATCACAGTATGTGAACATTAGTACCGTCTTCATTATCTTGAGAGTGTCAACAAGTTTCTAACCTCTTTTTAGCGAGGTTAAAGTGTTAAAGTGTCAGTCAATCACCACTGGGCGTTAACTTGTAAGGTCATCAAACTTCGCAATGCATGTCAACAATCATACCACACCCCCTATGTGGATTACCCTTCACGTGCAATGTCGCACAATCCCAAACAAACCATCAGACATTAACATGTTTGTTTCTTCTCTTTTTTTTGCCTGTCCCGTTTGGTTCTTTTGCCATCAGAATTATTGTCTAAAGGCAAAGAAAGATGCCCAACGGATTTACTTTACCAAATGGACCATCCCAGCCTTGCCGTATTGGTCTATTTGATTCACCTTCGCTTTTATTGTTTATTTTATTTTCATTTGCTGAATGCAGGACAAACAAACATGTTTGTTTCTGACAAAAAAGGACATTAGCAGAAAAAGAAATTATAACAACGTAAGTCTGCTTTTTCCATCTCTTACCAGTAAATCATCAACGTTAGATCCAGTGTCAGCAGCCTTGTAGTAATCAGTATGTTGATTTGAGGCATAGTCAATCCCAACGGTCTTTGAAGCTTTATCTGATCCACATATCTTACATGTTGCTGCATTTCCCATGGTTACCATTCAGACAGGAAAAGAATTCCCAGCTTTACCTGAATATTGTCGCCTTTCTTTACTCTCTTTGGCCACTTTGTCAAATTCTTGCAGTTTCTCACTTTGCATCTCTCAGTCCTACACTCCTGATTACTGGCATCCTTTAATCCTACAGTCCAATAAATTTGTACATATCTTTGGTTCAAACATATTTAATAAATTACCAAATCTTGCTTCCTTTTCTAATTAATTCTACTACATTTCCTTGTTGTTCCCTTTTATCACAGTGCAAGCTACTGAGCATCAGCCTCTAGCTCTGACTTAATGTACGATGTACTGTGGTCAAGGCCCAGTCCTGCCTACTCTTCCGCTGCCTCTCCTCTCTCGCAGTAAGATAACAACTGCAGCCATAAACATTTAACCCTTACTATCTCTCCTGTCTTAGCTATTTTTACCATTCTAGACCTTCAGTTCCACCCAGACACAACCTACTGATGGGTGTGTGTGTGTGTTCATGGTAGGGTGCATAACAGCTGGGTTTCACTCAGAATGTAGACCACATGGCCTACGGTGCTTTCAGGAACACCAAGGGTCAGGATTCTGAGACAAAATTAAAAAATGAACACAGCAATAAAAAAAGATTTAAATAAGAAATGCACTAATTGAGATTTCTTTGGCCAATTCCATGCTGACATGGTAATACAGATTATCGATGATTCTGATTCTCTTCTTTCTAAGAACTATAACTTTTCTTCAAAGCAAAATTAGCTGAAGCATAAATAATTAACTGAAATGTCTGATATATTTTTCCTTACCAAACAAAAGCAACAGATTTATATAACAACAAAAAAAAAAATACCGAGGCTGCTGGCTTGGACTGGCTCTGAGCTCTCGACAGCTTTAGCTTTAGTCCCTTTGCCTTGGTTACTTTCTTATAAATGTTCATGGTGGTGATTTAAGTGTTTGATTAGGTTTGCTGTTACAAAGGTTTTTCATGGTAGTGAACAGTGAGTCTTTACCTCCAAAAGACGGTACTGTTTATCCCCAACCTTATAAACAGTACTGTTTATAAGGTTGCCTTGTTGCCTTGCCTTGGCTACGTCCAGATGAACAGAATCAACTTTTGGAGATTTACTTACCTGGATGATTGAGAATGCCTCAAGAAGTGAGTCTTTACAACACTAATGACATGTTAGTGTGTGGCTGTGAGTGTGTATGCAACTATTTGGCTGTGCTGCTGTACATGTGTTGCTTATGCATAACGGGACATATGGGAGGCTGACCGAAACCACTGAAAAATTGACCAAGTCAGATCCGGTTAGTACAAGCAATCTAATTTCAACCTTACATAGAATTTTTCACTACACAGAACTCGTTTTGTGTAGATCATTCGCATTTTGTATCCCAGTCACATTTACTACTTAATTTTGAAATAGTTCACATGACCAAAAAGCACTTTTCTTTACTTTCTTTACTTTTCTTTTCACTATGCTATTTGGTAAAAATAATTAATAATTCTTTAATAATGTTACTCATATTAAAATATTACAAGGCATCACACATTCATAAAAGCATTACTGATATAATCAGGTGTGTGTGTGTGTGTGTGTGTGTATTCTTCAGTCTCCACTTTTTGAGTTTTTACTCGTCTTCCTGCCTGATTCAGCTGTTTGCCAAACTCCACATGCAGAGATTGGATTGATTGAGATCCAGCTGTAATCTCTGTATCCATACAGGATTTGCACAGATTAGCCTGGAGTCAGTCATGTAATGAAGGACAACACAAGTATATGCTTACACTGGATGAAAATCAAAACTCTACTTATTATCATGAATGTCTCATTAACAGCTGCTTTGTGTACACGAGGTCACTTATGAACATATGTGCACTAGTATTGCTAGGGGCTTGTATTGCCATGAAGGTTAAAACAAAAACGGTGAAAATCTTTTTAAAAAATATACTATTTATGGTAGACAGTGGTACAGTACTATTTCTTTGACATTGTACTTTATCCG